CAATGGTTCAAAAGCACTTTACATAATAAAAATAACAACAAAATCCTAAACCTACAAAACAACAAAACTACATTGTCATCCTATAAAAACATCATCATTCTATACGACAACATCATAACCAATTTTAAAAAGCCAAGTCTTGAGCTTAGATTTAAAAGAAGAAAGGGAATTACAAGATCTAACTTCGAATGGAAGTGCATTCCAAACAGAAGGTGCAGCAAGAGTAAAAGACCGGCCACCATAAGTTTTTAGATTAAATTTACATGTAGAAAGTAAAAATTGATTGGAGGATCTAAGAAGTCTACCAGGTGTATAAGGCTTGATGAGATCAGTGATAAAGCTAGGTGCAGCACCATGAAGCGCCTTAAATGTAATTACTGCAATTTTGAAAGTTATCCTTTGTTCAATTGGTAGCCAATGAAGTTGAATAAGCAACGGCGTAACATGCTGATATCTACTAGTAAGGTGAATAAGCCTAGCACCACTATTTAGGACACTCTGTAAACGTTTCAAGATACATTTAGGCTGACCGTAAAGCAATGAGTTACAATAGTCGATCCTTGCAGTAACAAATACTCATCAAGTCTACGATAAATCTTTTTTAACTCTCCAATTAAAGATGACCAGCTTTCGATTTCTTCAAGGCAACAATTCATTCAGAAACAGCCGAATTATCAGCAACTGCATTTAACTCCCTTCTGCTTTCAATGTCAATATCACGCTCTCCTCCTCTCTGGCTTTCTGCCATCCCAAGGTTATAACATAACAAGCATGCAAATGTTACAAATACAAATGTACCTCCAAACAGAATATATCTCCGTACGTAACTCTTGATCCAACCTCGTTTTCTCACAAGCATTTAGAGGAAATGTGGGGTACTTCGACGAGAAGATCACACTCGGCACAAATTACTAGTCCACGCGTCGTAGGTAAATCCTGTTTAATCCACCGTTTCCTTTCACCGCTCCTTCACGAGCAAATACAAATTCATCGACGATACTCGATACTTGAAAAAACTTGTTCATGCAACCGCATCAAACTGAACTATCAAGCTACAAAGAAGAAAATAGAATCCACGCGATAACATCGACGATTAGGCTCTAAATTTGGTGACCGACTGACCACAACTAAGTCACGTGCTCGAAAAACAAAGAAAATACATTAACATAATTAAAATTCGCGGAAAAAAGACACGACAAAGTAAATCGCACAATTCATGCTTTGAAATAACTGTTTTATTGTAACTAGGAAGCACATTTAAAGGACAGTCAGTCAACAAAATCGTGTTTCATGAAACGTAAAAAACAGAGGTTTGAAAGGCAGGTTTTAGCGGTTTACATAACCTAAATAAGTTAAATATTTGCTGTTAGGTGCTCTTTAAAGAATACGGAACATTGACGTCGTTGCAAGAAACCAGACGTAAAACTGAAATAGGACGATGCAATTAAATCCAGTCAGCGGAATTTAACAATTTAACCGATTTCACTTGCGCACGACCTGCCCTTGTCATCCATTTTTGATCTTGTAAGCTGTTTTCAGGTCCAGAAGTAGCATGTAACTGAAAATGAAATTACAGCCTAAAAACACTGAACACTGGAAAAGAGACTGGTGTAAGAAATATCCCTGTTATTTTGAAAGGTTATTCAGTGACCCATCTTGATTTTTGGGGGGATAATATGTTAAAGTATCTTTTTTTTTCTCATTCTCTCTTGACAACGGGTAACGCACTGCGTATGTACATTGTTTGCAATTTCTATATGAAAATGGCGGCTCCGGGCTGGCCCTTTTCATGTGGAAGACCTTAGATAACACTGACCTAAAAGGCGAGCTGGAATGTTGTCAAGGCCAACCGCTTTATCAGGTTTTAATCCACGCAGTTAAGATCTCACATAAGCCTCAGACACTTCAGCAAAATTGAAATCAGGGTAGTGGCGAGAAGGAGTGGGACTGGCACTAGAAACACAGGAAGTCCAAACAGAGTCCAACAATCCAGACACAGAAGACGTAAAATACTTGTTGAAGGAATCAGCGATCCGATTTTTATCTGAAGTCTGGTAAAACTTTTTTTTATCGTTCTCCAGAAAGCTTTGTGATCGTTCCCACCCTTATCAATAAGACGCCTTTGCCTTTTTTACAGCGATCAACACACAATTTCTATGGCAACGATAACTAGGCCAGTCCTCGAAATTATTAGTCTTTCTAGCCTTAGAATGAAAGTAGTCCCGCTGACGCGTGCCTGATTTGATCTCTTTGTTAAGCCAAGGACCGTTATCTATCCCTCTCACACGTCTTTTTATGATGGGTGCATGACGATCAGAAACCGAGACAATCGTGCCACAGCTGATCCACATTGCTCACAAACCCACTGGGAATAAAGGTATTACACAGACCTTTCAGATCCTGGCAAAAATGAACTGGATTATAATTTCCTGAAAGTTTTGATTCGAGATGGCGCTTCCTACAAGTTAAGCTTACGGATACAGTTAACCATTTCGTGCTCACGAAGTTAAAACAAACATGAATCGTGCATCTAAATTAATTATAAATTCGCTTGTAACAAAACTACCGACGATTTCAGCCAGCATTTGTCTCCTTAAAAATTAAAAGGCATTACGTACTTGGGATTTTACAACATTTGAGATGGGCAAGATGAAGATGGCTTCCAACTCAGCGTAGTTCTCACATGGCCGAGACATTTACTTGTTCCTAGTCAAATTCTTCCATTGGCACCGAGGTGGAGTGCGAGAACTATACTCAAACCGAATCAGGTCGCACCTGGGGACGGGGAAGAGCTACCATGGATAAACAAACTAATTGATTGATTGATTGATTAAAGGATAGAGAGAAGGGCAATTAAGTGCTGGTTGAGGGTCAAGATGGCGTGGACGAGGACGTGGACGAGGACTGTGGAAGACGACGTGAAAGGAAAGGATTGATGTGGTAGAAGAGGATGCAGAACAGAATCGGGGGGGGGGGGGGCGGCAGACGACATATTGTGACTTTTTTACCACACTCGGGGATTAAAAACAGACCTTTTTTAAAGGAAAAACTCACAAAAAGTACAAAAAAAGAGACAAAAAACACTTAATTTTTACATTTGGAAGATT